AAATCTTGTTTTCTTACTTTTAACAACTGGAATATTTTATTTATTTGATTATTACTAATCATAATGATCAATAATAAAAAGGGCTGGTAAACGCACATATGTTTTGTCTAATGTTGTGAAAATTTAATTATTATATTGAGATAAAATAGATGAACATTATAGAAAATAACACTATGAATGTGTCTTTGTTTTACTTTTCAGATATTAATCATCGTAAAGAGTTTTCTCTCTAATAACCATGGCCACAGCAGGAGGAGGAGAAGAAGCGACAATACAACGTATATTACGTATAACTGACATTGCTGACGAACCACTTCGATTCATCGCACCCATTGGTTGCTATGAAAAAATGCCGCTGGTTTCACTTGAAAAAGCTGTCGAACCACTTGTTTCTATTCTACCAGCTGTACAAAGTCATGCATATGTTGCTAAACAGTTGTGTGGCAGTCCTGCCGATGGATTGACAACAGATGAATCTGCTTCCATTATGCTATACACCATGGGATGGGAGCCACTCAACAAATGCGTTTATGTAGTTTTGAATGATACATTACGATCATCTGAACGACAACAGAAGCTTAAACCATCGTATCTTTTTTGGGGACTATTTCTTAGTGCACTCTTTCGTCCGCCACTACTGCCTAAAACTGCATACCGAGGGGTCAGATTAGATTTAAGGAAACGTTATCAGGAAGGGAAGACAATCATTTGGTGGCGATTTTCGTCGTGTACAACAGCTGTCAGTGTTCTACAATCAGAACAATGTTTGGGAATGACAGGGACAAGAACAATGTTTACTTTACAATGTCAATCAGCTAAAAATATTCGAAATCATTCATACTTTCCAGCTGAAGATGAAGTACTTCTAATGGCTGCAACTCAATTCAAAGTAATGGGTTGTCTTAATCAAGGTAATCTTCACATTATTCAATTGGAAGAAACTACGCCACCATTTCCACTGTTACAACCAGTACCTATTGTTGGTTCATTACCAATTCAATCAAATCCATCTGGTGAGTTCGAAAGATAATACA